CCAAATCATTAATACACATTAACTCATTTTAACAATTTCGTTCAATTTTTTTCTTACAATTTCTTTTTTTTTCTACTTATATTGAATATAATTTATATCTAATAACTATTTTTTTTAAAATGACTGTCCCACTTCTTTATTCAAGGAAGTCCAGAGTATTTGTCCTATCTTTCACGAGCACCTTATTGAGTATTTTCTTCCATTTTAAACCAGTTATTTTAATGTTCTTGACCAACTGCAGCACTTCTTTTTTTTTATATCATTTGTAATCATTTTGACAGTACTAAGCCTGTTCTTTGTGAGTATTTTGAGAGCAGTCAATCACAGACACTCATCTTATTTGTTCATCGTTTCCCCCAAAAGTAGATAATTACAGCTACAAAACACAAATTTAATTCTGTGTATGTCTTCCCAGGTGATTAAACTAAGATAGGTCCAAGTTTTAACAGGTTCCAACATCATCTTTTCCGTATGTGGGCTCTCCAGAGATGTGTGGCCATGGTTAGTGGTCTTCTCAAACATGGACTTTGTCTTTTTCTTTAAATGAATGTAGGTGTGATGTGTTTAATAGTGACACTGCAGTGACTGCATGGGAGGAAATGTACCACTGGTTGAAGATCATGTGCTGTTTTGCTTCCTGCACTGTTAAAAAAAATGAATAAATCAATACAATTTTAAATGTCAGGGCAACAAGCTTTCATAATGTCATTGAGTCTGGCACTTTCATGAACATCATACATGTTACTGTAACATAGCATTATTACTGTTGTTGTAATTTTGTTCAATACTAAAGGTAAATGTACCATACTTTGTGTCTATGTCCTTGTTGACATCTTTTATCACACTGCTAGCATTCTCTGTAAACCCCTAAAGTTTCACCTCAGTGCAATGCTTCCTGGGAAGTGTATGCAAATAAGCTTAGCATTTTTCTAGCTTACCTTAATGTGATGAGGTAAATCAGCAATCCATTCAACATTTAGTCAGCTAAATCTGAAATTTTCCCTTTTAAAACTGACAGTTAAACCTTTTTTTAAATATTATTTTAGAATGGAATTAATACTACGATAGAGTTTTGAGGTGTTTCACTACAAATGATGAAGTAAACAGTGAACAGAATCACAGATAGATTCAGCATTACTAAGATTCACCCTCTTTGACTGAAACACAAGAGTGAGACTATTAAAAGTAAATCAAATTTAAAACTATTTTCTTTAAATGCTGACAAATGAAGTTTCTAAGGTCTACCTATTTGAATGGTTATTTGTACCAAAGTATAGTTACTTGTTCAGTTTTGTAGTCGACCTTTCAGACCGTTCTCCAGTAGTGGAACAAGTAATGTGATGTAGTAACACCACATCGTAAAATTGCACCTTTACATGTAAGTATAAAACATCTAAGTTACAAGAAATATTATTAGTATTTACAGCAGCTGTGCAGCAACACATATGTGCTCTTGTATTATGAGTTGTATTAATGGATTAAAAGCACTTAAACCTTAAATGATTTTAGATTTTAGACCTTATTATTTTAGACTTATTGTGTGAAAATGATATTCGTTTAAACTGTCAGAAAAATGTTGAAGATTAGAAACACACAGATGCAAAGAAAGGCCAGAGTAAATTAAATTTATCACCAACTGAATATCTCAACTGCACTAATGGGAATGTATAAAAGCACGACACTAATAATACTGAAATATTTTAATTTAAACATGCTTATGTGCATTTATTATAGCTAGAGGTTAAACAAATAGTTACATTTTGTTTCTTAGGGGGGTTCATATTTTTTTGTTTACTGTACTGCAAACAGAACTTGAATTGAATTTTAACATCTTAAAATTCATCTGAACCTGCAAACCTTTAATATGGATATTTACATAAGAGATACTTGTGTTGAACCTGTGAACCTGTATAAAATAATACAAATTGTTTAAAGTTTGGATTGGTGGTTGTCCAGGGTCGGTTTTTACTTGCTTCAAATAAATCGTTGGCCTTTTTTTGGCTTTCAGAAAGTACCATAAATGGAGGTTTTCAACTATAGGTATCTAAAAATGCACACCCTTACAGTATTTAAGGTCAACACTTATGGTACTGCATCATCTGCTTGTTGATCCTCATAAATACTAACACACAACCATATTTCAGTACATATATATACATTACGTTCCCTCAGTCTATGAAAATCTGGCCAAGGGAAAAGCACAATAAATAGTATAACATGATGAAATGCATATTCAATCAAGATGACTATTTGTTACATTTATTGGATTTGCTGTTTGTTTTTAATCATCTCCAGCTCTTCCTAATTGCCCCGTTCCTAATCAGATCCTGCTGCAGTCCATTTCCTCACAGCTGTCGTTACAGTTTCCTCTAATCTAATCCACACGAAACTTTTCTTCTAAGCTAAGTGCAATAAAGAGGCAGACCACAACAGATTCGGTTTTTCTCTTCTTACAGCAAAGACTCAAACAGCACAACTCAATGATGACAATAAATGGTTTTCTGGTGAAAACTAAAGGTCCAATTTGGGTTACCACTGAGCTGGCAGGCAGATATAGTTAAAAAAAAAAAAAAAAAAAACTTGTGAAAATTAGCATTCACAATATTTCTGGACATCCTGGCACAGCAATGTAATTTCTAATTGAATTAATTCATATTTTTTTTCCCCCAAAAGTGTAGCCACTTCAATGAGCTCATATGTTGTGTCAGGGGGCAGAAATGAGCTGTGGGCCCCAATGGATTGTAGTAGTTTGATTAAGCACATATGTACACAGTTAAACAATAAAAGCCTCCACTGTAAAAGACTGGGTTTGGTGGGGTGTCTTGAAAAATAGCCAATACACGACTTGCCAATCAACACACAGACAAGATAGCAAGAAGCAGGTGAATATAGCAGCTAAACATTTCAGTCATTTTGTCAGAGTTGGTGGAAACAAAAACAGAGCTAAAAAGATTCCCTCTATCCATTATCTATTCATTGCTTAATCCTCACTAGAGTCGCAGGGGGCTGGAGTCTATCCCAGCTGACTCAGGGTGAAGGCAGGGGACACCCTGGACAGGTCACCAGTCTGTCACAGGGCCACACTTAGAGACAGACAACCAAGCACACTCACATTCACACCTACAGACAATTTAGAATCACCAATTAACCTCAACATGTTTTTGGACCTTGTGGGAGGAAGCCGGAGAACCCGGAGAGAACCCACGCTGCACGGAGAGAACATGCAAACTCCACACAGAAAGATCCTGGGTGTCGTCACCGGGACACAAACCGGCAACCTTCTAGCTGCGAGGCGGCTAAAAAGACTGAAGCATTCAAATGAAATGTGTTTATAAGGTGATTTTGTATTTACATTTTGTTTCCACTGCCAGAAATGAGCCGAAACACAAGTTTAAAGTCTCATCATTTCTGCTTACGCTGTGGTTTAGTGGTTATTGACCAACTATTACAAAACAGATGGGAGCCTTCAGGAATACACTTACATATCTGGCACTTCTGAACAATCTAAGCTTTGTTTCACATCCGTCACTCTGCCTCTGTCTTCTCTTTCTGCCTTTTCTTCTACTGCATCTGCTCAGCCAACACGGAGTCCTTCACTCCAGCAGCCAGCACAGCGAAGAGGAAGGGGGGGAGGAGTGAGCGGAGGTAGAGGGCCACCCTGGGGATGGGGTGGGCCAGCACAACCTCCTTCCTCTTTCTGTTCACCGTTTGCATTATCTCATTGGCCAGGACTGACGGCCGCACGCCGTGGGTCAGCTGGCTGGCGATAACTGTGAAGGAGCAGACAGGTTAGACGTTGCAGTACATCAAAAGAAACACTTGCACCGGTGTGAAGATGTGTCCTATATCATTACCCACTGGCTGTGTCACACCACCTGTTATACTCACATGCAGCCAAGGCATTTGGTTTAGGAACAGGCTCCTCGACTTGAGGCGGGTCAGAGGCGTTGATGAAGGTGTGACTGATGGTGCTGACGACTATCCCGTACTCCTCCACCTCGGCCCTCAGGCAGTCGAAGAAGGCCTGAGCCGCATGCTTAGACGCCGCATCTGACAGGTGCAAACACACTTATTTATACAGACAACAGAAGAGGCGTGACTCACCTGCAAACACGTGTCATTCCACACATTGCACAGAGCATACTTTGTTTAATTGTTTTCCGTCTCGTCTTCCTGTGTTTATACTGTGAGAGCATGTCTACATGTTTGAAACCTGAATGTGTTGTTGGACATCTTTGCTCTGCTGATCTGCACAATCAATAGACCAGACTGTCAACAGCGTTCACCAGGACTAATTCTTTGGTGGTTAGTGGTAGTAGGATGGACTAAACTGTGAAGGAACAATATGCTGATTCTTTTTTGACACACTAGTTGCGTGGTTCATACTTGATTTAAGACAGCAGCCAATGTGTTACAAAGGATTCACATCATCACATTGTTTTATCTGTATTCGTCTGTATGTATAAGCATAACTTGTGGAACACCTGTAATCAAAATGGTCATACAGCTGATCAAGCACCTCCCTGAAACAGTTGAGGGGAGGACATTTTCAAGACTGCATTAGTCGTAGTTACGTATACCTCATAAACAGAATGTATATTAAACTAACTGTGGAATTAGAAGATGATGATGTGAATATTTATTGCAAATAATATGCACCAATCTTCCATCTGGCAGGTGCTAGATCAATTTCAGATTTGGGGCTCTTTGTCATGTTCCTCGAGCTGTTCCTGATGTGGAAGGCATTTGTTTAACTGATCAGTATTGTCACAAAACTAATGCCATTCCTTTCTTTACATCCACTGTCACACAGGTATCCCAAAAGAAGAGCACAATTTGTGGCAGGTTGCATATTTGGAATAGTTTAAATCAATTAATGTTGGTGTTGTCACTCAATAACAGATAACACAAATTGAGCAAAGTGTACCTTTGTCTTGTGCTGATGTTGCTGTTTTGCTCAACAGACACAAGATATGAGCTTCAAAGACAGCTGCCACTGGAATACAAGAACTTAGAGACAGGAGCTCAGGCTGGAATCCATTAAGCCTAACAGAAGTCTCTGTCATGGTGGCCACTTGCTACCTAAGCCGAACAATGCTTTCTGTTTGCCAACACCGAACTGCTCCTAGTCCAAGTGACCACCTCCTCATGTCACCACAGTATGAAGCAATACATTTTCTGACATGCATGTAGAGAGTACAGGTTAATAGTGTCTGTGGGAGCTTGTGAAGCCATGATACACCAACACAACATTAAGGAACAGCTTGGATGCAGAAACGCTTTTTTTTTTCTTAATGTATTGCAGAGCTGTTGAGTTGTCAAGCAGAAACTGGATCAGTTTAATCATTTTAAAGGTACTTGAATTACGTATGATCAAGGAAAATGGCATTAGATTAGGACCTGATATGGGCGGACACTAAATATTAAGTGACTCGGATTGGATCAGGGGAAAATAAAACTTGACCAAGACATCCCTATTTTTGTTGTTGTTGTTGTTTTTGTTGTTTACAGTAGATAGAATGATTGTTTAATACAATCAAAACAAGGTTGCAGTGACTTTTGTTGGCAACTTACAGGAACTTCTGAATGGGACAGCCAGTCTGCCCTGGATGCTGTTGACCAGTACAATGTGGCCCGATCTTCTTGAGATCATTGTTGGAAGGGTACCTGCCACAGTATTTACACATATTAACATTTAGATTAGATCAGTAACAACAAACTCAAAGAAATTTTTGGTGATGTAACAGCAATGTCCTGCCCACCTTTGGCCAAAGTACTTGGGCCAAAGTAGTTAATGTCCATGATGTTTCTATCCAGCTCCAGGGTGACGCTCTGAACTGGGGCTTTCAGCTTCATGCTGCTGTTGCAGATCAACACGTCCACGTAGCCATAGCACTCCATCACCTCAGCTACCACATCCTCCATGCTGTCCATGTCACTGAAGTCCAGGATCACCAGCTTTGGGGCAAACGTCTAGACAGAGGCAGGTGTTCATTTAACATGTGTTGACAATAACTTTGGGCAGGCATGGGATAGAAAGAACATTTACAGAGACAGCCTCCTAATTAGCCCTTTCAGTGTTTCTGTTTCCATTGTGGTGCATCATCTACCAGACTCACAAAATGACTTCATCATTTTTTCAACACCTTCAGCCACACCAAAACAGTGACAACAGTTCGGCAAAACCAGAAGGTTGATGCACTGCTGTTTGTTGTGTGTGAGTTTCACCAATCAGTTTTGAACACCAACTTCTTTTATGTCAGTAAACTAAGAATTAAGAGAGGTGATTAGATTAGCTTAGCATAAAATCTGGCGCAAGACAGCTAGCCTTCTTTTGGTTTTACAAAGAGTTTCTTGAGGCAGCCTCTTGCTTCAGAAAGTCCCTGTAAAACCACAAACTGTCATCTCAGATTTTTGTACATATAAAAACCAGAAAAACGTGTTAATTAGTGACCTGTACAGATGATGGTGACTGGATTACAGAAACTGGTTTGCTTTGTGTCATCTACAGCTATGTGCAGTTGTCATGTGGACACATCTGCTGTGTCTGGTGTGTAGAAGACACATGCAGGACAGCGTGCTGTCCGACAGGATATCCTGCTATTGTGTTGATCAGAGGAAGTGGTGATCTGGGAGGTGGCGACAGAGCAGCACTCTGATAAAAACAAGGACAGAACCTGATAATCTGTTGCTTAAACTTTAAACCCATCAGGTCATTTCAGTGTCACATGTAAATTCCTCTTGAGGGATTTTTGGGAATGGTAATGGCTTTGTTGACACTGTGCAGACAAAGTTTGCAGCATATATTAATAGACATGAGATAGTGTTTACTGGACCAGCCATCTTGTAAGATTTGTTATTCTGCTGTGAGGTTTGCCAAAGAGATGACTCAGCACCATAAAAAACACAGTAATGGTATTAGTTTGGAGGCGTTTACTCAGAGTTTGGCATGCTTATGATGTTTCAAACTGAAATAAATGTTAGCATGCAGCTTATATTTATTATCTCATTCCCTCACCTCTCTGGGGTCGGCATCAGTAGTCAGAGAGTCATACAGGGACTCCAGCTTGTCCCAGCTGGTCCCACATAGGATCAGTCTGGCACCGCCCTTATGGAAAAGCTGGGCACACTCTGAGCAGAATGAGGAAAACATGGTGAATAACTTTATATTAAGAGAAATGATGTCACTACCAGATCAGGTTTGGTTACACCATATCACAAATATGTTTCAAATGAGCATATCTTTGCCGTTTATTTTGCTGTTTTGCTGTTCCTCCTTTCCAACCAACCAATCAACATATTAGATTATCAAACAGAAAATGAATGAGAGACTTAAAGGGTTGTATTTTAACCCAAACCATGCTCTTTTCATACAGTGAATCTAATTTGTGGTGCCTAAAGTTACCATACAACATACAATTAACACCAATATTATCCCAGTGAGCGTGTCAACCAAAGCATCATAATTTCCTAAACATAACTACATAGTTTTGGTGCCGAAGCTTAACAAAACAGCAACTGCAAACGAGACGTAATGTTCAGAAAAATGAAGACATGCTACTCATTCGTATCATGTGTATGCAGTAGACACCAGGACCGCAGTTGTATTCCAGCATTTGTAGGACCCTTGCCTTTTTCAGCCACCTACTCAAGTGGATCACTAAGGAAGTACCCTAAACCTTAACCTAACTAACCCATAACCCTGCTAGAACTATGGGGCTACATCTGGGGTCCTGAAACTGCAGCTCTCAAAGTGAAATGAGAATGCAGTGAAGTTGTGTAGGAACATCATCATGGGGAGATAGAATTGGTCCAAATGAAGAAAATATGCTTAACAGCACCTCGAATGCTCAGTTATCAAAATTATACTTTGTAATGTGGGGTAGTGTGCCAGGCTGCTTCTTGGCCATGAGAGGTGTAGTGTTTTTAATTTTGAACAAAACAAGGTTAGTGATACCCGACTGTGGCTGAAGCTTCACATTCACTGGATCAGAAACTGTAGTCGATCTTTGCATTTGTTTCCAACATCAAATTATTCATCCAAACACGAGGCTAATAGAAGAGGTTTGCTACTCTATGAGGACACTGAGAGGGGGGAAAGATGGGCCTCGTTATATCTGTTCCAGGTTTGATCAGTCATTGTCAAGCCACACAAAGTATCTACCCTGGTGTAGGTGGTGATGTGGAAAATGGCTCAATGATCAGGTGCCATCATGTGGTTTGTCTTAATGTTTTGGGTGGTGAAAACTATGTCCCGCACTGATCTGCACTGTGTCACATGGGAAGGGAAGAATGACAAATTAATCGTTTCTGAACTCGAATCTATTCAAACAATGCAGGATACAGCACTGGAGCATGTTGAGGAAACGACAGCCTCAGCTATCAAAAATGTGACTTGGATATGGTGGAAACAGTAACATTAAATGGCTGATATGTTGCATGCTAACATGTGGACAGTGACTGTTTCCCATCAGGAAACTACGCGTCACATAACCAATGCAAAACAACTAACTGTTTTTCTGTTTAGTCCCAGTGAATTTGAATGGTGCTTGTTATTTGGATTGAATCAAGATGGCTGTTTCCAGCTTTTATACTAAATACTGAACTGCCTGCACTTATACTTAAAGCACTTTACAATGTGTTTCTCATTCACATTCACCCTATGCTAAGCTAACCTGCTGTTGGGTCTAGTTTCCTATTTAACGGACAGACGTGAAAGTAAAATTGATCCATGCAAGTTTTTCACAGGCCATCAGAGTTAGGTAAGCTGTTTCTGTCCATAGTCAAAGCTAACAGCCTTCATACTGTAGCCTCATGTTTTGGAGAGTTGTCTGTCTTCATTCGTTTAATGGTTGGCGTTATACTGTACAATAACCGTTCAATGGCACAAATCCGAGCTCTGATTCACATAAATCAATTTTTACTTTGGTGTCAAGGCTTAAATGTCCTCTCAAATTTCATGGAATCTGTCGTCGAGACATTGTGCTGAAGCCAACAAAGAGGGTTGAAAGCAAAACCTCCATGGAAATCAAAGTAAAGATTAAAACCACAAGGAGGATCATTTACCAGTCCCCACCCCGGACACAGCATCACTGATCACCACCACTTTGTTCCGCACTAAGGACTTGGACATGAACTGCAAGACCTCATTGTAGATGTAGTAGATCCCAGCAGCCACGACTATCAGCAGAGGCAACACCATTACCGAGGGCAGGCCCATGTTCTGTGGAGGAGAGAGCAGACTGGTCAGTGTTTGGGACACCTACAGACCTACTGACCTGCATCACAGCAGCCAGCAGTCGGTGATGACAGGTCAGCGCAGGTCAGGTTTCCTAAAGTGTGGCTCACTGGTGGTGTAAACTAACACAGTGTCAGTGACACAAAGTAAATCAGGCTGGAAGTAAATGCAGACCACTTCTCAGTTATCTGAAGGCTGAAAATTCATTCTTTAAATGGTGTTGCTTATCTAAAGCTCCTCTTTTGTGTTTGGTATTGATTCAATCATGAAAACCAATCAGGGATGTCGGGGTTTTACCTTATCTGTGCATTTCAGAAAAACAGTCCCTAGTGTTGTCAAAATTCAGTATATATCAGCACTATCTGTCAGAGGCAATCATGTGGATAAGACAGCAGCCTTCCTAAATGAGCTTCCACAATAGCAAAGCAGTAAACCTGTCTGTTCCTGTCGACACTGAAATGTTCTTGTTTTGAAATAAAGTTAAAACAAACCAAAAAAGCAAAGCTCTTTAGCATAGCTTAGCATAACATGGGCAAACACGAAGCCTAAGCAGATGATACCTCATTTGTGTATTTAAACATTAAACCTCAGAAAATGTGTAATACTAAAAATAATAATCCCAGTGTAAGTAACTGGGCAAGTTCAATGGTGATATCTGCTAGTTAAAACCAGCTTACCTATTCTCCTGTAGTATTTTGCCTTAAAGAACACTGATGCACAGTTTGTATATCTTGCTTAGAATGTGACAAACTATGGTTTTCTGCTCTAAATGTGTTAAGTCTCCTGAGGTAACAATTAGTGTTTGAGGCCTTGCTAGTAGGCTTACCATGTAAAGTGAGAGTGAGGAGAACAGCTAAATATATTCTGGTCCTGCTGCCGCCACAGAATGTCTATGCACTATGTCATCTCCCGGATATTGTCATAGGATACTGCAAAGGAGGCAACCAGGGAGCCTCACATTCATAAGCAGTCAATGACCTTACTTGTCCTGCTTTACTTGGGAAAACACATTAAGATAACCCCTAATCCACATTAAAACTCACAATGACCCCAACGATCCAGTTCCCATCTCAGCCCCATGTTTGGAATGACACATGATTGAGGTTAGTCCGCTTGTGAGTGCATATCTATAGCAACTGCACAACAGAAACACACGCACACACAGCTGTAATCTGTGTTATTATTGGTTCACTTACAGCACGGACAGGGAGCTAATCCTTCAGCAGGACTGGCTGTAGTTTTTTTCTGGGTTTAGTTAGGTAACAGAGGCCCTTCTCTGTCTGTGTCCCTCGTCCATTCACTCGGCTGTGATCCTCTGTGTGTCTGACCCTCTGCTGCCCACTGGAACCTGCTGCTTATAATAGCCTTCGCTTGAGTCAGCCATTAATATACATATATGCGGTGCACAGTATCTGAGGCATGTTCCCTTGTTGCCAGCATGAAGGGATGGACCACAAGTGAAAAAGTTTGTGAGTCTGGCAAGTGATTGCATTGTACTGCTGTTTTAAATTCCCTCAAAGTTAGTCCAGTTTCCCACCTACCAAGTTAAACTGTTATTAATTCAATTCAATTCAATTAAATGCAGAAAGATCTTGATTAAGAAAGACAGAAAGTTTATGACACTCTCATGTATGTGAGAATACAGCTGTCTGATGGCTGTCTTAATACGTGTATTTTTGTTTTTATAAATCGGTTCATTTAGAAAATAACCAAATGCTGTCCATAGAGTTTTGAGGTCTTCAGACTTTAGATTTGTATAGACAGATAGTTGATAACATGTAATATTGTGTGCAATGTAAATTATTTTAAATTAGCTCAGCTTAGAAACGCAAGTTCCCCTGCTGTTAAATATTCAAGCCCATTTATTATATACTGATCTACCTACACTATGTTTCACTGCAATATTTTAATTTCACATTTGTATTCTTGGCATTTGTTGACGTAAAATGTGAATGCAGTAATTTGATTTGTAAATGAGTATTTAAAAAATACATTAAATTTTCTATTTATTTACACGTTTACTGATTTTTTTTGCCGCAGAATGTATTTCATAGCCACAGACTACTATTTTATTCAATATTAAATACATACATACAGTCGTCCTCAAATGTATTCAAACCCTCCCATTAAAGAAGGAAAAAAAACAGCTGTCACTGAAATAAGCTGAAACTGACAAAAGTAATAATAAATTTAAAAAAAAAAAAAAAAAAAAAGAAAATCATGACATTGCTTTTGAATTGTGGTTCAACCAAAAAAACAAAAAAAACAAGCATGATGGGACCCAAAAACTAATATTTTGTTGAACCCTTTGAGCCAATCATGGCAATCAAGTGTTTTCTGTAACTCTCAGTCAGACTTCTGCACCTGTTGACAGGTATTTGGATTGAAGTGCTCTAATTTGCCTGGGACAGTAATTTTTGTTTGTTTGTTTGTTTGTTTGTTTTTATTATTCTTTTCAACCTCAATTCAAAAATAATGTCTTATTTCACTAAATTATAATTTAGACAATTTTTTATTTATTGTTACTTTTTCAATTTATAGTTATTTGATTGACTATTTTAAATTTTGCCTTTTCTTTAATGGAAGGGTATGAATACATTTAAGGCCAACTGCACATATTAATACAACTGAAATGAATAGAAGCACATCTTTGACCAAATGCCTTTCTAAAATAAATACCAATTTATTTAGCTATTACACTTATTAATACATTTATTGTCTCTTTCATATATTTAGTTATTTATTTTTAATTGTATTGCAAACGGTATGGGCGTCTAAGTGTGGAAGTATCAAAACACGTCAGTGACGGTGTTCTCTCTGTGGGTGGCGACAGTGAGCAGTTATCGCGAGATCCCACAGAATTCCAGGGTCTTGTGTGCTCTCTCTCTCCGCTCCCCCTCGCTCCGCTGGGAAAGAAGAAAATAAACCTATTGCTGCTAACCAGGCTAGTTATGGAACCAAACCCTAAATACTCCCCGTGCCGTCTGTGAGTGGCTAAGAGGTGCTTGCCGTGCAAACAGCGTTTTTGCCTGGGAGAAAAGCACCTGAAGCGTTTGGACTTTTCGCACCGACTCTTCTTTAAAGTCAAGTTGAAGACGCCAGCCAGGAGAGGATTTCATTAGCTAGCCTATCTGCGTGCTAGCTAACTGGGCTAACCGTAGCCTAGCAAAGGAGCACTGGATGAACTTCGCATGGAGTGACTGCTGCGAATGGAATAGTGTCCTGCTGTCTGCCTGCAAGCTTTCTTTTAGGCTGGGTCTTTCACATGGGAGTCTGTCGTTACTCCATGGACACTGTCGGCTCAGAGCTTGAAGGCGATAACTGTGTGCAAATGTTGTTTTTGTGGCTTGCGCCATCACGTTATTGATCTGGGAATCCACTGGCAAGCTAACAGGATATTAGCCACCTTCTCGCCACTCCGCTTTGTGGTTGCAGGCCATGGACTGAAAAGCATTCATCACTGGCAGAGTGATGAGAAGGCAGGCTTGATGGCAGCTAATTATTTATTGGGAGGCAGCAATTGGATACAGCTAAAGAGACAAAAGAAGCGTTTACTTTAAACGTTGTCCCCGAACAATTAAACTTCTGTTTGATCCTTTTTTTTTTTTTACTTGAAAATGCATCGGAGTGCTGGAGCTTTTACGAAGTTGGGATAAAGGAGACGCACAAGAAAACAGCGGGATTTACAACTCCACTGCTAATAAAGGTCCTCCAGAAGAAATTACCCCCAGAGAGTTTAAAAAGAGGTGAAATATAATGTCTTCCGCGAAAGAAAACCCCTGTAGGAAATTTCAGGCGAACTTCTTCAACAAAAGTAAATGTCAGAACTGCTTCAAACCACGGGAGCTGCATCTGTTGACTGACCAGGACTTGACCCAGGTGAGCAAAATACTGCTAATACAAAAACATATATTCCCCGTTGCCTTTAATACTTTAAATGCCTTTAGTTGACTGCCAGCTGAGATAATCCCCTCCAAGACCTGCTGTTTCTGCCAAACTTTAGAAAGTGAAAAATGATCATTGGCTGCAAGCTATGAGAGCAGCTGATCCAGCTTGTGAGACTGTAGAATGACAGCTTGAAACTTGCTTCAGTATCTACTGTATTTTAAACTGATCAACGCTAACCACAGCACTACTGATGGGTCAGATATCAAGGTTGAGTGCTGTATGTGCTGCAGCAGTGCAGTTACAGCCCTGCTGGAGATAAAGTTGGAGCTGACTGTTTATTTTAGCTGAATCTGAGGACATCAGGTTTCTTCCCTTCCTCCTTACACTTTCTACCTGTTCTCATGAATCAGATTGGTGAAAGTGGATTCCTTCAAATCAGAATAGCTGTATTTGCTGGTCAGTGTGGTCTTTGTGATTGATTGTGTAACCTTCAGCTGTTGTTTATCTAGAGTTGTTTGTTTTCTGTGTGTTTTCCTCTGGCAGACTAGTTCATACTATGTGGAGGTTAACGGTGACCTGAGTGAAGACCAGCAAGGATGACAATGATAAAACAAAGCTCCATTCAGCTGTGTTCATATCATGAGCAAGTTTTTGAGTCTGTCTTTCTGTCTCGCAGATCATTAGTTTAGTCTGTTGTATCCTGTAATTGATCCCAGACGATGAGGCCCAGATGGGCCCTTGAACGCGGCTTAAGAGCCAAACAGCAACGTCAGCATCCTCTTGTGCTCTGTGAGTGTGTGGGGGCACACATTTGCTTTCTTTCTCAAAAGTGTGTTTGGCTTTCTGCACTGAGTTTGGTGCAGGTTAACCCTTCAGATGCTTTAGTCGGGATCGACATGTTATGTTTACCTCAGTTCCTCTAATCTCCCTGTGACCTGGCCCACGCTCTCTCCCACAGCCTGTATATTGACACTCGGAACCAGAGAGGCTTAATGCTTTGGTCTTCCAGAAACATATGACATCCATCCTGGCTCATCACTGCTGTCCCAGGCGCCCACAGGCTTTTGAAAATGTCTCCAGTCTGTCAGCTTTCCAGTTTGCTCGGAGCTCGGTTGCACAAGCAGGTTTTGTAAGGATTCTGTCTGGACCTTTCTCAAACCAGTTAGCGCCACGCACCAGGCCATTACTGGCCTAAAGCTGTATTATGTAACACCATGTAAACAGTGTTAAACTTCTGAGCGTTGTTCAGCAGGTCCAAGGTGAGAGTTAGGATTTGTAAACGGTTCCTAGTGTTAAACTGATACAGGCTGACTGAGGAGACGAACTCAATAACCCAGTGAAAAGAAAGCTCCTGTAAAGCTGTGTAATGCTGTTAAATCACCATGAATAGGTGATTTAACTGAGTGAATGTGAGCCCTAAATTAAATGCAAGTTATTCAGAGCTTAAAGGGGGGCTGGAGATTGAGAGTTCAACTTTAAAACAGATAGCCCGCATTGAAAAGTCATGCAAAGGGAAGAAAGCTGAATGTCTGAAGGACAGTGTCCAATATAAACAATCTCTGTGTTCAACAAGACTAGAATAAAAGGTGGGCTGGGGGAGGGGCTGCTGTGGGAGCCTGAGTGAATTCTTTTATTACAGTCAGTTTGCTCCAATAGGAGTTTTTATGTCCCCACAAGTTCCCTGTCTGTTGTCACGGTTTTCACCAGGTCACATGAATCATTTGTCCTCACAGAGTGGAGATGGTGGTCAGGCCCGCCGTTCTCTCCCTGTTGGAGAAAAGTGATCACACTATCTGGGAGAGGTGGTGGGAGGCAGGACAGTGATGGAGGATGCAGGCAGGCTGAAGTTTACACGTACGTGGGAGAGACGAAGAAAGACAGGCAGGGATGTGATAGGACTTAAGGAGTGGGAGCAGGAGTCAGAGGAAGTGTGGGGTTGGGAAATCAGAGTAGAGTTTCCTTGAGACGGCTGCTCAACATCCCACTTTTTGAGGTTATGAGCAGGCCTATAGCTTTAACACATACCAAATGTTCCAGCGCAGTTACTGACTGCAGGCTGCACCTCATGCCTAATAGGCTACAGTTCATATCTATGATTCTGTCACAGCCAACACAGTTTTTCTGTGAAGGCCTTTTGTGTGGAGGATCACTGATGACTTTCACATGGGTCCCCTGGTGTCGCACCCAGCTGCGTTTGTTTTTGTCACCTACGAGCTCGGACAGCGAAAACAGCACCCTGGCTAGAATTAACCGGCTCTGTTGCTGTTAGAACTGACACCAGTTTTGGCTTTTGGTTCACACTAAAGATGGTGTTTTCCTCTTTGAAAAACACAGGTCATAAAAACGCTAGGTTGAATAAATAGATCTGCGTTTTCACTGCAGGAGCTTTCCAGTGGGAATAGTAACCTTTTGAAACCAAAGTCTACAAAAAGCTCCAGGGAGATGGTTTTGCCCCAG